TGTTGTACAATACAGTGCAAAATTTTTGAGGGCTGTAAATTTCATGGATTTTGCAATTTTTGTGGAAATTATTTCTGCAAAAATCAAATTATTTACGGTATAAGATGGCAGATAGCATAAATTTGTGAAAATTAAATCTGCAAAATTTTTAAGCAAATTAGCAAAATTTACAGCCCTCAAAAATAATCTTGCACAATACAGTAATAACAATTAATCCTAGCTTTGACAGTTACAATACACTGCATGGTTGGTCTTTAAAATCTTTTGTTTTTTCTCTCTTTTTAATTTATCAGAGATTATGTGAAAGGTATGAATGTTGAGGAACACATTTCACTTGTGTCTGGTAATTTTACTGACAAGCTTCCACAATTTGAGTAAGAACAATAAAACAATAATTATCAATAATAATCATCCTCTCTCTCAGTTGTAATTGTTATATTTTAAAGGATATTCTACAGAATTGGTCAGATGAAGATGCTCTGCTGATATTATCTAAAGTTGAATCAGTTGCTAAGAGAAATAAGAGTCGTCTTGTGATTATTGAGAACATGATGCACACTGGCCACCATGCAGAAGAGAAGGTAAGAGAGAGAGAGAGATTGAAGCCAAAGACCCTGCAGGGACATTGGTTTAATTTTGAAGCATCTTTAAAAATTTGTAAAAAATCTTAATATAATCAGAATTAGCTCGAATTTTTTCCGCAACATAAGTACATGTATATGTATCAGGAACTGTAATAAAAATGGAGAATTCTCTCCTAGCCTGTGACCCTGTACCATAGTACAGGGATTTTAATTTGTCATATTATTATAGTTTGGTCAAACATTGTACACTAAAACACAATATTATGTGCTTTAGTGCACAGTGATATGTACATGCTTGAATCTAATTTTCGTTTTCCTCCTCTCTCTCTCTCTCTCTATTTCTATTTCAGTTAAAGTCATTTCTTGATCTCACAATGATGTCATTCAATCCGTCACATTCTCATCTCCGTACAGTTGATGAATTGTTCTTTCTTCTTCAATCAACAGGTTTCACAGACCCACAGCTTTACTTCACTTGTACTACCTACAACATCATTGAAACCTATCCTAAAACTAATCAGTGATGGGTGGAGTAGAGGTGTGGCTTCAAATCATATACCATATGGAGATATTCTTAATACAATGAAATGATCATTAATGTACATGTGTTATCAATTCTGTATCTAATTTTTGTGATTAATTTTTAAAATTATAGTTCATTGCCTTCTTTAGAATTCTTCATTTTTATTACTGACTTTCATTGCATTGAAAGCATTCAAAGGAAGAGGATCAAGTCATGAAATTTTAACTATAAATACATTTGTACTCATGCTATAATCCCTCAATAGTATAGTCATTAAGTTGTTATGAAGCTTTCTCCAATGACTCCTCCCCATGCATTAATGTTTAGTAATTGGCCTATCAGCTTTCAAGCTAAAGTACTGATATTCCATGGAAAGTGAACAGTAGCTATCAGTTGCTGCATTATGATGGCTCCTCACTTGTATAATTGGCAAAATAATGTATTGTATAATTAAGAAGATAAAACAAAGAATAACTTATAATAATTCAGTGTATTATAAGCACACAGGCAAATGCAGTGTATAATGTAAAATGTTAATAAGTATGTGTACATGCATGTATCTTATTATTATTATTGATAATTATCACGGGCTCTGTCTGATGATAGAAATCCTTCCACTTCAGCTTTTACTCTTCCAAGTTCCTCTGAAAAATCATCACAAACTTGAAGTACTTTCCTCCAGGTCACTCCTTTATCCAAGTCTATCCATCTCTTGAACACTAGTATGAGGTGAGTAGTAGCAGTCCCTGGAGTAGGTAGCAGGTCATCCACTTCAACATCAAGTGCAGTACCAATGAGCATGTAATGGGCAGCAGAACTTTTGAATAACCTAAGGAGGTCACTCTTTTCAGGCTTCTTGTCTAACAGGAGGTCTGCATTAAAATAATAGCAATATAAAGCAATAATATGATAAAAATAAAGTTAACAGTTCCTTACTTTTATATGATGATTGGTCATGAACTTGTTTTGTTTGTGTTCCATTGTTACTCTCAACAGGTCCTATACACAAGTGATAAATTATAAATAATAATCATTAGCATACACATACGTACATGTACGTTATGATAAAAAATAACAATAATAACAACAACAACAACAATAGTTCCTTACTTTCATCTGATGACTGATCATTATCTTGTTCTGTTTGTTTTTCATTGTTACTCTCAACAGGTCCTAAATGATTTTTAAAAATAATAAAAACAACAACAATAATAATAATGATATTAATAATAATAACAATAATTCTTTACTTTCATCTGATGGCTGATCAATATCTTGTTTTGTTTGTGTTCCATTGTTACCAACAGGTCCTATACACAGGTGACAAATTATAAATAATAATTATTAGTATACACATACCTTGTGCATCATTAAACCAGGTCCAGTAGTCATCACTAAGAGCAGGAGATTCACCACAAACTGTACAATCAGCTACTTTATGGTGACCTTCATTTACAATGCAATAGCAGCTCTCATTGTAAGGGCAAGCAAATGCATTGACGTGATTATGCTTGAGGTGCATGGCATCACTGCTATTATCAATAGCTGTTGTGAGTAGCTTACGTACTAATAGACAA